CGCAGATATTCTTGAGCTCATTTGGCATAACCAGGGTCAGAGGAGGACAAGGATCCAGAGGAGGGGAATTATCGTCCTCTCCACGTCTAGTACTCATTCCACGTTTCTCACACTAACCTTCAATCGGAGCTTTGTTATTTGGCGATTGCTGCCGTATCCTGACACCAGCTGTTTCATTGATGCTGTAATGGGCATATTAAAATTCATGACAATTGCAACAATCAAGACAGAGCAGCACAGAAAACTTTTATCATGATGTGAATTGAAATGTATGAGAAACATACATTTTTTTTATATGCTGTATATCAGGGCGGGGTTCCTAAACTGGGATCTGTGGACACCTAGGAAAGCCACTTATTATTCTGCCTCATGAGATTAGTTGCAACAGCAGTGGTGTTATTCATTAATTAAACATTTTGTCATTGGAAAAAACATTCTTTAATTTCTTTCTCAATAGAAAACAACCACCTTTATAAGCCAGCGTTGAATATCAAGTCCATTACCACTAGTTCTAGTGGTTTTATGTAAGAATCTGGTACAGTGCCATATGCATGCAGAATTCTTTGGGTGATAGCTTTCTTTCAAGTCGGATGGGTGTCGGATGCACATGAAAACCCATCACTATGCTTGAATCTCTAAACCAAAATACAGTAAAACTCATAAGTCATATCAGTCGGGACCATAACATTTAATACGACTTGCCCGAAGTCTGACATGCAGACAAACTTGTATAAAATTCTAATTAATCAATAATCTATATTTCATAGATAATTCAATGCAGCTGGTAATACAAATGTAATTTTATTGTTGTAAGTATGCCTGTGGTGACCAGTCAAGACTGCATTTCCCACGATTCAATACGTCTTGATCTGTCACCGCGTGCCCACTCACTGGCAAGCGTTGGAGTCGCATTGACTCACGGGAAATGAAGTTGTTCTGCTCGTGCCGCAATAGACGAAGACTAAATTTCCTGCGATTCAATGCATCTAGTTGGTAAGTGCGCATATGTCGACAGGTCAGAACATGATTCAATGAGGGCGGTAAGTGCGGAAGTAATGGACAATAGGGAAGCAGCGTTACAAGTTAGGAGATGATTAATATGACCAGTGCAAAGAAATCCTTAAGTGATTTTGATTGGAAACTGAATGGGACTTGGGTGTATGACTTGGACGATTATATGATTTATAAAGATAAGACTTAAGCGAAGTTTACTTATTAAGTTCCACATATTACTACTTTTAACAAATCTGAAGTCATTCAACGTCTTTTCCTATGGTTTTGAGCTTCGTTATTATGCTCTTCAAGAACAGTTTAGAAAGCAGCCTTGTTCTACATGTCTGAGTACCAACATGTATTCATTTAAAAGTGTAGAAATCCAGTGGAAAAATAAATTAGGGTTAGTGATTTGTACATTGGGTTTTTCTTCTGCCATTGGCTGACAGATAAGTAAATGCAAAATAACGTTAGTTACTGCAAATGTGAAATAAAATAGGAAATGCTGGAAATTTAGAGGCAGGTCTATTAGTATTATTAGTATTATTAGTACAAATTACCTTTGTAAAGCGCCTTTCATGTCGGGATGACGTCCCAAGGCGCTGGACAATCAGTAGCGGGGAGCAAGGTCATGGAGGACTTTGAAGGTGAGGAACAGAATCTTGAACTGTATCCTCTATGTGATAGGAAGCCAGTGGAGTCGGGCGAGGATGGGGGTGATAGGGTCACGGAGCCGGTGCGGGAGAGGACACGGGCTGCAGAGTTCTGGATGATCTGCAGTTTATGGAGGGAGGAGTTGGGGAGACCGATATGCAAGTTGGCATAGTCAAGCCTGGATGTTATGAATGCGTGGATGAGGGTTTCGATAGTCTGGGGTATGAAACAGTGGTGGAACTGGGCGATGTTGCAGAGGTGGGAGAGGGTAGAGTGGATCCTGGCACGGATATGGGGTAGAAAGGATAGTTGAGGGTCAAACAAGATGCCAAGGTTCTGGACTGGCTTAGTAAGGTGGGGAGTGTGCATCCTTGGATGGTGTTGCTGTTAGAATCTGAGGGCAGGACCTTCATTAGTTCTAATGAAATATTTAAAGAACATTCATATAAATTTTGGAAAGGGTCAGTATAGATAATAATAATAATAATCCTTGCATTTGATATAGCGCCTCGTTGAGATGTCTCAAAGTGCGTCACAGGATATACTGTAAAGGGGATTGACTGTATTTTGTGTTTGAAATGCGGCAGCCAGTGGTGCACAGCAGTGTCCCACAAACAGCCATAAAGTGAATAACCGTTTTTATTTGGGGGATTGTTTGTTGGCCAGAACACCCCCCCCACCTCCCACCCCCCCCCCCGATGAGAAGATGGATCCTTTTGAAATTAAATTCTCAATTTCCAAGGAGTTGGTGTCAAAGGGATGGGTATATACTGTGTAAGGCTGGTAATACAAAGAAAGAAAAATGAACACTCCTTCATTAGTATGCTCAAATTGTAGCAGAGTTCTGGGACAGGTATAGACGGTTGATTTATTGTGTGTTTTTGTTTACACTTATTGTTTATTGGCAACAACATTTTATAATAGTGGAGTGTTTTACCCATCTTGCGGAAGGAAAAAGAATCTTACTGTAGTATACCTCTCCACATATTAAGTATGCTTCTAGTTAAATGAACGTGCATCCAGTGGGATTTGTACCCTGTTGATTGACCTAACTGGCTTTAAATGAAGAACACTAAAGAGTAAAGAATCCTGAACAGGGTGATTCTGCCTATTAACAGTAGCTGTTAAAGCCATTCATTTTTACTGCATCTGCGTATTGATAACTTTAGCAAACAGCTGTACAGCTTTCGTTTACTGGTGCCAGAGTTTATGGCTGCCTATGGTCCACAGTGAGATAATGTTGTTGCGAGGAAGATTTGTACCAGCCTCCATTGTGCAGTGAAAGAGCTCTGATTATACTCACTAAAAGGTGATAAGGGTCCTTTATCTGCGCTATAGGGGCTGGAGTATAGTGGAAACTAGTGAATCTTACCATTGGCAAAATGCAGGGTTGATTGTCCATAGACACATTAGGGATAACGTAACCACATATGATTGCTGTTTCCGAATCCTGTAGCATGACACCTAGCTGAATTTAGGGGGTTGTGATTTGCTCAAATATTTAAAATATGCATTCTGCTATCTTGTCAGAGCAAGAAATCTTTTCCTGCAGTGGATGACTGTTCTAGGAATATTGGAAAGGGATAGCTACCTTTTCCCTCTGTGGGGTGAGTGGACTTATTAACTTGCAAAACGAGTAGGAGAGGCAAGATAGTTACCTAATTAAAATTTTAAGCCAAGGCAAACTAAGTTTTAAAGTAACAGAAGCTGCATGACCAGGTCATTATACAACTTGATCATTATTTCTAAGGAACTGATTTTCTAAGGAATAAAATGTAATGTAGCCCAGCATTTTGTGAACTTTGTTTAGTGCTCTTCATAATGGTTTGATACAGGGAGCAAAGAGTTAGTGAACATCCCTAGATTTCAATTTCTTAAGGATGCTTTACATAAGATGATTTGACTTGATGATTTACAGTTTCTAAATTTAAAATGATCGTGTTAAAATGATTGGCTTTCACGTACAAGACTCAAAGCTTGATTTTTATTTGCTAGTTTTAGTTATCATTGCACCCTTCGCTATCTTCAGGTCATGCCTGATGACATTCCTCTTCGACCATGTCTACGGTCAACTCAGTAACCCCTCATCCCGACTCGGTGTTGTGCTCCGCCACTATCGAGTGCTACGGGACGCCACCCTGCACGAAAGGCACTATATAAATGCAAGTTTTTGTTAACATAGTCCAAAGGAAACAAAAACCTCAGATTCTTTCCTCCTCCTATCCCCAGCTTGGGTGCCCAGCCAGCATTGTTAAGCACCTTGAAAATCTATTGGACTGAGGCTCAATTAGATAATTATTCTGCTTCTCTGACATTTTAGGTTATATTAGGCTATCTTTCACGAGACTATCAAACCCCATCCTCGCTCAGCTCATCTCCCAGCAGATTGAATTCAAGATCGTCATTCTCACGTTCAAATAACCTCCTTGGTTAACAACACCATCAATCCCTCCGCCTTGCCCCATCTCTCCCCTTTTTTGTCCCACCTGAAAACCTTCCTCTTCGACTGTGCTTGCGGCCACCTCCCTCCCCCAGCTCGGAGTTAGGCTCCGCCACAGTTAAGCGCTCTTAGACACTTCGTGGAGCGCGCTATACGCGTGCAACTTGTTATTGTTGATTGAAATTGAAATACCAGATTGTTGAGCCTCTGCTTTTCTGACTTGAAAGCTGAGTCAAAATCTAAACTCCCAGTAGAGCCCACACACATCTTTGTTTGTTGCTATTGTCGTATTCACTCACTGGACTCTGAAGCATATTCTACAGATTGTTTTTAAAAACAGATAACCTTAGGAGGCAAATGTCAAACAATTATTAAACTTGATGACTGTTTGTTGATAAATGTTATTTACTTTCTTGTGCTCGACACTAGTAGGTGGGAACTGAATCACTTTCTTCTGGTTTAAATAGTCTGGTGGTATAGTACTTCAATTGCAATACTCCAACTCTTGTTAAGTGACTATTCAAAAGTTATCATTTTAACATTATTGCAATTCAAGGATAGAAACAAAGCACCTTGTGTTCACAATTTTTCAATAAGGTTCCAACAGCGCATATTGCTAAGACTCCGCTCTACAGCGCACAATAAGTATGTACTTTAGTTAAAATTATAGCTTTAGAATTCTAAAACTTCCCCCAATTTGCTTCCTCAGAAGAATGTCCCCTTAAGCAGTCCTTGCACCTAATGGGCAACAACTGCACAATACAGTTCCATATTCGCTGTTGCAAGCATTTTTGAAAACAAATTTGAAAACTGGTTGCTTTGTTTTCCTCTTTGAGCTGCAATATTGTTAAGATGATAACTTGTGAATAGTCATTTAACAAGAATTTGTGTATTATGATATAATAATAATAATCCTTGCATTTGATATAGCGCTTTTCACGTTTTCGAGCCGTCTCAAAGCGCTTCACAGAATATACTGTATAGCCAATTGCGCACAGCAGTGTCCCACAAACAGACGTGGATTGAGTGAGCAAATTATTATTGTGTTTCTTTCTTGAGGGATTATTATCAGGAATGTGGAGCAAGGAAACTTCCCCAACTTATAGCCCTGCCAGCAATTGAACCCAGGTCTCTCGCTTGCGAGGCAAGGGGTCTAACCACTGAGCTACAGGACTCCACAAATGTACTACAGATTTGCTTCTTAGCTAACCATGTAAAATCTTGATATTAGGGCGATATATACTGGTATGACACAGCTGAAATTTGTTTTTCATTGCAATGTTTTGGCTCTTTAGAGGAACGCTTACTGTTGCACCTTCAATTATAACTAATTTTGAGAATTGACAATTTTATAGGTAGAATAATATTTCAAATAAGCTCTTAACTTTTTGGATCCTTTAATGTAACTTGGTTTTATCCAGTTTTGTGCTGTGAACAATGGGCTAATATTCAAACTCAATTTACTTTTCACTTTAAAGTAAATTGAGTTTTAATACTCGCCCATTGTTCACAACATGCTCCACCGTCAGCGGCCACGCTTTCAGCCACTATGCCCCAAGGCTTTGGAACTCTCTTCCCCCAATCCCTTCACCCTTTCCCTCCGTCCTCTCTTTATACATACAAGTTGTTGTTGTTATAAAATTGCATTTGTTTTCTGTAGTAAGATGCCGTGCTAGTTTTTGCGATTAGGTTTCACTCACACTTAGTAAGTGCACATAATTAAATTAAAACGGATAGATTTGATTTACCTTTGATCCAGTATACTGCAGAGAAATTTTACTCCTTCTATTGAACTAATTTTCAGTTTACATCTGAACCGTTTTGCAGATAATATTGTTTCAACTTTATTCCACTTGTTTAACCTAAAGTAATCTTGAAATTTGTTTTGCCTGTCCTTCGTTAATTCCCAGTATCCCTGTAAAAGCCTCAATATTATTTAAAGGCTGTTGAGCTTTAACTTGCTGGATAGACAAATGTCAGAGAAGAGTTAATGGGCCTGGTTACATCAATAATGAGTGACATGATGAGGCCCTTTAAAAGTGTGGTAATCAAATATAATTATTAGGATCTGCAGATATAGTGAGAGAAGCACGCAATAATGAGCAAGTGTGTAACTCACAATGTTTAGGATCAACATTTAGCCTCTTAGGGTTGGTTAGGAATAACAATAATAATAATCCTTGCATTTAATATAGCACCTTATCACATGGTTGAGACGTCTCAAAAAGCTTCACAGAATATATTACAAAGTCAATTGACTGTATTTTCTGGGCAAACGCGGCGGCCAATTGCATACAGCAGTGTCCCACAAACAGTCGTGGAGCAGTTTCTGTATCCTTCCATGCTTGTAAAAGTCTTGACAGAGCAATGGAGTATGTTTCCAGCATTGTTTTTCTTGTTTAAAAAAATTACTTTATTCAAAATAATGGAATAACTATTAATTGTCCTACGAGATATATCAGGGAGGGAAAAAAATCTCCCTTTCCCAATGCATTATTGACATCCAAAGTGAGCACTAGTAATGCTGGGAATGGGACTATTTTTTTCACCACCAATTGGGCCACAATAAAGATCAAATTATGATCAGCTTTGTCACTATTTTGCAAATGTATAGGTTTTAGTTGCAAAATGGAGTGTGTTTTTAAATGGCAAAAATATGCCGGGTTAATTAAGAGAACCAATATCAAAGTCTTGCATCAGACAGGGATAAGAGTTAAATTACAATGTTCTAGTTGCAAGAAAATGCAGCAGAGGTGTGTGTAAAAAAAAACATTGATCCAGATTCAAATATTATGTTCCAGCCTTACCAAATTTTGATTTTGTTTTCTCTTTTCGGGGAGATTATTTTGAGATCAAAACTCCAGTACTAAACATTGGAACTGATGGTTTAGTCAGTAAAGTACTACTAAGATTAAAATGATTGAAATTCCTCTTTAATAAACAATTTGAGCTGTGCTAACAGATGTAGAGTGTGATTTAGTTTAAAGTGATGTAGATGATTGTGAAATTTATTTTCTGTAATTTACTAGAGAAGAAAACAAAATATTGTCGGGCGTATGAGTTAACGTTGCATAGAAATATTATAAAAATACTAGTGCTTTTATCAAATGGCCTAATCCAAATTGTTTTGTTGAAATTATGGTTTAAAATGAGAGACTTCATGTTCATTTTTAATAGCTGCTATCTGCATGTTATTTTTTTAAACTTGCTAACTGCATGCTTGTTTTGGTGTTGTAACCCATTATGTACCATTATGGCTTGTGCTCGAGTGCACCTGCTTACAGTTTGCCAGTTTCTGTCCTCCAGCAATTGTTGCATAGAAAAACAGGATGATATTCGAGACTTGCTGAAGCTTCAGTGGTTTATTTGCTTTCGAGAAATAGGATGAATATTGGCTTATTGATGTTTGAGATGTGCTCTGCAAAATTGGTTGATAGCATTTCAGTGAGTCAAAATTTATTGCAATTGAGTTACGACTGAGTTTCTTAAAATTAAGTTGCTGTAATGTTCCGGAACGCTACACATCTCATGTGCTTCCAGAAGAGAGAGTTTTCAGCTGAATTGCTGTAGCTTTCATATTTTCATGTTGTCAGTTTACTTATCAGGATACAAAACTACATCCTGTGTGGGTTTACAGCAATACAAGATTCTGTACAATCAAGACCCATGGATGAAATCATAACAGTAAGTATTGCCACGTCTGACGTGAATGCAGAATGCATTTTACACAGAATGAGCGACCTTACAAAAAGGAAACCTTTGATACCAATTTTACTAAGGTAATGGAACATAGTTTAAAATATTGAGGGATGATGTAGCTGAAATGGTTAATAAACAAAAATACTAGAATTGTAGCAAAATAGACAGGATTGAAATGTTTCTGGACATGATATTTGGACTGCAATGTGTCTCAAAACGTTAAGTAAGTTACAAGAGGTCAGGCATCATTGAATCTGACATATAATGGTTATAGATTGCTGGAGGTTTCATTTAGAGGGCATCTTGAAAATAATGACCTCAACATGTTTGAGTTTGAAGTCAGACTTATGACAAAAAAGAAACTTTCAACAGACTCTCAAGTTTACAAAGATGGATTTTGAGAATGATAAAGAGGAAACTAAATGAGCCTATCCACATCAGTTTATTAGAATCATAGAAATTTATGGAGTACTTATCAGGCGAAAAGAAATCAAAGGGCAAAAAGAGGACTAATATGGACAATGTGGAAGGCAATGACAAATTGTAATTATAAATTGGTGTAGAAAGCACAGGATCACGATGAGTATTAAAATATGATAAAACTATGTCAAGATAGCCAAAATGGAAAATAAGATTAAGATTGCAGGGAATATAATAATAAACCTTGCATTTGATATAGCATTTTATCACGTTAGTGAAGATGTTTCACGTTACAGAATGTACTGTAAAGGTAATTGACTTATATTTTGTGGGAGGAAAACCACCAATGTGAAAGATTCATAATTCTGTGCATAGGAAACTGATATTTAACTGTCGGAAAGCTGGATGATTCTAAAAGAAACAATATATCAAGTGACCAATGATGGTAGATATTCAAACTACCCTTCATGGCTTGCTTTGGCTTGCCGGATTAACAGGAGCTGAATGGAAAGAATCCATTTTCACAGTGGCTGGTCTGCCCTTCCAAGTCCTGCCATTGAGCCAAGCTGCCCGGGCTGTCATCAGTAGTGCCCTGCAGTACTGGCTCAGAAATTGTCTACCAAGATTGCCACAGTGCCCTGAAGTCCTGCAGGTCTGCTTGGCTTAGAAACTAGACTAACAAAATGGCATGTCTTGATTTTGATATTCTGTATGTCATGCAGACCCAGTGCAAGGTTGTTATTTTTGCAGATGACCCCAAGTTGAGGGAACTGGAATAAGAGGAGGCAGAGGGATCTCACAAAGAGAATTTGATAGGATATAAACATTGGCTGCTGTTTGGCAAGTGATGTTCGATATAGATAAATACAAGGCATTTCAAATAGAAAGTAAATATAGGAGGTATTGGGATGTGTTGGAACTTGCCAAAGGGGATGATGAAAGAGGCCTAAATTGACTCATTATTCATCATGTCAAAAACGTGTGAGACAGCAATAAAGAATGTAAATAGAATGCTGGGCTATATTCCCGTAACTGTTGAGTTCAGATCCCCAGATACTACAGTTGTACAGTACTCAGGTCAGGGTGCAACTGGAGTAATGCATACAGTCCTGATCACCTTGACATGAAGGGACTTCCCAGGCCCTAAAGGCAGTGCAGAGGACAGCAACGAGGTTGATCCCCAGTGTTAGGGAAATTAACCATAAACTAACGTTCAGACAGACTATGGCTGTTCAGTCTTGAAATGAAACATCTCACAAAGGACCTTGTAGAACCATATACATTTACAGCACAGAAGGCCATTTGGTGCATTGTGTCCATGCTTTCTGTGCTGTATAGTCCATTCAGTCCTATTTGCCTACCTTTTCTTCATGTCCTTACAAATTATTCCTTTTTAGATAGCTAACTAGTTTCCTCTCGAAAGCTAATGTAGATCCTCAACCACTGCACATGGTAAGACATACTCCATTCTGACAGCTCTGTGTACATAAAAAAAAATTCCTCCTAATTCTCTCCTTTGCTCCCTTTGATGTCCTCTAGTTACTGACTTACCAACCAGGGCAAATAATTTCTCCCTAACTGTCATCAAAACCTTTCATATTTTTAAAGAGCTAATGGGGCTTACTTCAGTCTTCTTTGCTCCAGTGAAAATAGGTCTACTCATTGGTCAAACTACTCATTCTTGGTATCAGCCAGAAAAATAAAATGTCTGTGCCTTCTCTTTGACATTGGAGTCCTGTAGCTCAGTGGTTCGTGCACTCGCCTAGCAAGCAAGAGACCTGGGTTTGATTCCTGGCAAGGTGAAATGTTGGACAAGTTTTCTTACTACACACGCCTCTGTTTACCTAGCAGTAAGTAGGAACACGGTTGTTAGTTGTTAGTCTTAGTTGATTGGCAGATCACTTTTCCAGGGGTAATGATTCCTTCAAAAATAATAATAATAATAAATTGGTCACTTCAATCCACGACTTTTAGTGGGACACTGCTGTGTGCAATTGGCTGCTGCGTTTCACCCACAAAACACAGTCAATTAACTTTACAGTATATTCTATGAAGCACTTTGAGATGTCTCAAAGACATCATAAGGCTCTATATCAAATGCAAGGATTATTATTATTATCCTAAATTGGGGTGACTAAAACTGGATCCAAAACTCTAGCTGCAGTTTGATTTATACAATCTAAGCAACATCTCTGGTTTTATATTCCATGCTCCTATTTATAAAACCAGTGCTTGTGTTTATAGAAGTATAACATTTTAAAAAGGATTGAAAAAGTCCAACCAGAAAATTCCTTTTGGATGTACCAAGACAGGAGGGGGAGGGCTCAGGTTTAGTGCAGCAAAGGGCAATTTCAGGAAACATTTCAGAAAATATTTATTTTCTCAGAGGGTGGTTCTGGTCGCCCCAACATAAAGAGGCTCCCCAGGCCCTAAAGGCAGTGCAGAAAACAGCAACAAGGATAATGTCCAGTGCTAGGGAAATGTTCTAGCCTTAGAATCCTATACAGACATTGGATCTCTGAAATACATCCCTCCTCACAGAACGTACCTCATTGAGCTACCTTTGTAAGATCCTCTTTGCTGTACAGCCAGGTGTGAACGCTACTTATAATAGGCTCCCAGCAGAGTCATTGTTAAAAGCAGGAGCTCCGGTAACAATCGCTGGGTGACTACACTGAACACAGCTGTTCAATTAGTTCCATTACTACAAAATGGCCACATGTTTACATTGTGCTTTTTGAACTGACAGCACCCTGCATTTATAATTTACATTTAGAAAGCTTGAAAAGCTGCGAGCAAGGTAATATATCTTCTTCCAGAAGGCCTTTTATTAGAACCTGGCTAAAGAGAGGAAACGAGAGTTGTCATAAAGAAAGTAAGATTGAAATATGATTGGGTATTAAGTGGGGCAGGTGCTTCAGATGTCTATGCCTGGTCTTCTATTCCCAGTATACATAAAGGATCTGGATTTGCAGAAGATGCTGAGCTGGGAAATCGGTCAGGGCGCTAAGATCTCACAAAGGTAGCTCAATGAGGTATGAAGCTTCACTAATCATTGGAAAGGGAAGTTCATAACAGCCGAGTTCAGGGTGCTGCATATTGAAGGACACAATTGTACTCAATGGATGGGATAGTACTTGCCAAGGGGATATGTTGAAAGACTTGAGGGGTTGGTCAGGATTTTTGAGAAAGGTATGAAGGGTGCTATATAAATGTAAATTGATTTGTTGTAAAATGTAAGTTGATTCATTGTTATAAAGGCAAGTTATGAGGTTTTAGCTGGTTGGACTCCAGCAGTACCCCAATGTATACTCCGGGGTCCCTAGCCCTTGGCTCTTCATAGAATTATACAACACAGAAGGAGGCCATTCGGCCCATCGTGTCAGTGCCTGCACTTTGAAAAGAGCTATCCAATTCAATCCCACTCCCCCGCTCTCTCCCCATAGCCCTGCAAACTTGTCCTCCCCAAATAATTATCTGCTTCTCTCTTAAAAGTTGTTATCGAATCGGCTTCCACCACCCTTTCAGGCAATGCATTCCAGATCCGAACAACTCGCTGTGTGAAAAAATTTCTCCTCACCTCCCCTCTGTTTCTTTTAAAATCAATTTTAAATCGGTGCCCTCGGGTTATCGACCCACCCACCAGTGGAAATAGTTTCTCCTTGTTCACACTATCGAATCCACTCATAATTTTGAAAACTTCTATTAAGTCTCCTCTTAACCTTCTCTGCTCCAAGGAGAATAATCCGAGCTTCTCTATCCTCTCCTGATAACTGAAATCCCTCATTCCTAGTACCATCCTGGTAAATCTCCTTTGCACCCTCTCCAATGCTTTGACATCCTTCCTAAAGTATGTGCCCAGAACTGAACACAGTACTCTAGCTGAGGTCTAACCAGTGTTTTATAAAGGTTCATGGTAACTTCCTGACTTTTGTGTTCTATGCTGCTATTTATAAAGCCTAGTATCCCATATGCTTTTTTTAAATAACTTTATCTACCTGTGCTGCTACCTTCAAAGATTTACTTATATGAGCCCCCAGGTCTCTGTTCCTTCACCCACTTTAAGATTCTACCATCAGCTTATATTGCCTCTCCTCATTCTTCCTCTCAAAATGCATCATTTTGCATTTCTCTAAATTAAACTTCATCTGCCACCTGTCTGCCCATTTTATCAATCTGTCTATGTCCATTTGCAGTCTACTGCTATTCTGCTCACTGTTTACTATTTTTCCTAGCGTAGTATCATTTGCGAACTTGGAAATTGTACTCCCTATACTTAAGTCCAGATCATTTATATAGATCAGAAACAGCAGTGGTCCCAATACTGACCCCTGGGGGACTTCACTGCACACTTCCCTCCAGTCAGAAAAACAACTGTTCACCACCACTCTCTGTTTTCTGTCTCCCAGCCAGTTCTGTATCCATGCTGCCACTGTCCATTTAATACCGTGGGCTTCTATTTTGCTTACAGATCTCTTATGTGGCACTTTATCAAACACTTTTTGAAAATCCATATAAAATACATCAACTGCACTACCTTCATCCACCTTCTCTGTTACCATCAT